TTTTTTTATCAAGAAGCAAAAACAAAAAGGAAAAAATAAGAAACGGGGCAGGGTTCGATGGTTGAATCATCCGTCCCCACCAATGCCACAACCAAATCTACGCCCTTGTTTTTATTATTCTCTCTTTTTAATCTTATCTCATATCTGGAAAAAATTATGATGAAGAAAGAAAGAAAGAAGTTGAACGTTCAAAAAAGTAACATGTATGCAAAACAAAGTGAACAAAAACAGGTGTACCTAAAAAGCCACTTTTTAGGTACACCTGTTCAATGGTTTGTTATCACAAATATCTAATCAGTCAGCAACTCAGGGCATTTGGGCATGAAGACAGCTGACATGTACCTGAAGTTTGAACTGAGCATCAGAATGGTCATTTAAGTGACTCTGAATGTAGCATGGTTGTTGGTGCCAGACAGGCTGTATTTAAAAAACCCAAAACTGCTGATCTACTGGGATTTTTCTGCACAACCATCTGCAAGATTTACATGGTCAGAAAAACAGAAAAAAAATCCAGTGAACAGCAATTATCTGACCTACGTTTCATCACAGGTCAGAGGAGGCTGGTCAGAGTGCTTTGAGTTGACAGGAAGGCAAATAAAGTTTGTCTGGATACACAACATATCAAACCTTTAAGCAAATGGGCTTCAGCTGGGCAAGGTTGGTAGCATCGAGCGTGAATATAATGTTTTGAAGATACGCATAAATGAACTAAAAACCTTCTTGAAAACATGTTACATCTTTATGCTAATGTGATACATTTGAATCAGTGAATCGATACATGAAAATTCTGGATTGCCGCAGAATTCAGATACCTGTGTGACACCTTTATGATTGCACAGGTTTATTCTGAATATTCTGCTACAATGCGGAAATGCGGGAGTCTGGTGAGCCCAGTACTGTGTGCGATGAGTCAGAAGAATGGAGTCTGAATGGATTTGTAATCAGGTTTGCGATCCAGGATGTGCATTTTTTCAGTATAGGAAGTAAGACCAAATTTCCCATGTTACACTCGTCTCTGTTTGCATCACAGAAACAGAAATAAACCCAAACTGAAGTATCTATTTGTCAAACTGCATGGCACCTTGGGGGTGGAGGAGTGTGGCTTTGTTGCCTTTTGAAAACCACATGAGCTCATATTAAATTTTGGCTTATCGTCCCGTGATGTTTCCAGGCATAATGGGCAGGCATTTTCACTGCGAACCAAAAGAACGTAGTTCATAACACACAGATCTTTTCTGGGAAAGCAAGTAACTAGGACACACCTATGTTTCCTCAATGCCTTTTTTCCCTGTAGAAGTGGGATCTTTTTATTTCCTTATCTGGCCTGTCTAGACTGCCCCAAGAGTAAAAAAAGATAAAGTATATCACTGCCTTTTTCCTTACATGCCAACCTACACACTTGGAGTATTAGAAAACTGATGACTGCACCAAAAAAAGTCAAACGATTGCAAAACATTGAACCCTCCCTCTGAGAGGCTCCTCACTCACACATTCGTCCATGAAAAACATACAGAGATGTTTTCTTTTCCTGTGATTCTCCCTCTCCCTCTTATTGCTGCACACATACACACAATCTGGCCGCATTGGTCACAAGTGGCCTCATTGCAGGCTTTCTGCGGTGCCCCAACCTGTCCGTGCTACGTTGCTATGTGAATGACTCAGCACACAGAGGGTAAAATGGCCTGTACTTGTATAGCTTTACTAGTCCCTAAGGACCCCAAAGCGCTTTATTCTACATTCAGTCATTCACACATTCACACACTGGTGATGGCAGCTACATTGTAGCCACAGCCGCCCTGGGGCGCACTGACAGAGGCGAGGGTGAGGATACAGCCTCATAGAGGGCATTTCTGTTCATCTGCCAATTAACAAACCTGTGAAAAAGTTCCACATGGAGTCCCTTTTGTGCTGTGCAGGCTCTAAGGAAGAGGTGAAACTTGAAACGTTCTCTGAAAAGATGCCGATACAGAGCTTTTAGAATCTGGGCAAATCTGTTGGGAATCTGGCCAGGTGCTTCCGTGCCAGAGAAAAGGACTAACAGAATAGCAAACTATCCTAAGCACTTAATTAGTACTCTCACACAAGGGGAATATTGCTCTTGGATCATGATTTAATTGAGGAATGTAATAATTTAGCGGGGGCTTTGTTGGAGCAGGTCTCCAAGGTTTAGAGGCTCTGTGTGGTTTTCTTTATCATGTAGGTCAAAGGGAATCGTTTTGTCATGTTTTGTAACATCACTACTTTGACATTTATTGGTTAACATCATTCGATATTTGGTACGGGTCCTCAAATCACATTTTCAAATCAAAACAGTCCTCTCTGACTGAAAAATTGAGATTTAAAGGAAATCGCTGCATCTGTGTGTATTCCCCTCTTCCTGGAACCAAATATTCCCATTGCATTAGGTAATTCTTTCACATAGACGATTTCTTTAGTAAAAGGAAGTCGTGAGCAATCAAGGAAGTCTGGGACTGGCCACTGGTTTATTTACCTCCACCGAAAATGATTAATCTCAATAGATAAACTGGCCATGGTGCAATCCCCCAATAGTTGAAGCACATCCTCCAGTTACCGATCTTTATATGGAAAATAATACAAATGCATTCCTTTTGGTTTCTACGTTGAACTGTTTAACATGTGCGTCTGTTTCATTAGGATTTGGGGTTTCTTGTGCCAGTCAATACAAGCTGATTTTCAGGTATTTACATACCCGAGGGCAAAATTTTGTAAGTTCCTTGAAATCAACATGGTGGTATAATAGCTACACATTTTCATTACACTCTTTGTATATGAGCACTTTCAGAGGAACACAGCCCGTTCTCATTCCCGAGGCGTAATATAATGACGATTTGTCAAGTCCTCCGGCGTTCCTGAGGAACACAAAAGGTGACCGTCCCCATTATGCTACGCACCGGGTTATGGATGAAATCCAGTAGAATGATGCTCCCGCGGTAACACAGATTCCAGCCCTAACCCTCACCTCAACCAGCACTTTAATGACGTTAGATAGTGTTTTCCAAGCGATTTAAGTCAAATGAATCTACATGTACAGATTCATTCCAAACGGTTCTCATGTTTCCTCATTTTTCCAATCTCTTAATCTAGGGACGTGTTGGGTGCCCGGAAGCGTAATATATCGATGCTTTGGGGGTGAGAACATGTTGGTATCCGAAGCCGAAGTTAATGAAGCTGTGTGGGATCATGTTGACAGAGAAAAAAAAACAACAGCCAACATCCAAAGAAGAGCTCTGAACATCCTTCAAGATGCCTGGAGAAATATTCCTGAAGACAACTCAAAGAAATGACAAGTCACCTACCTCAGAGAATTCTGTCTGTGTTGAAGAATAAGGCGGTCATATCAAATACTGTATTTCAATGTAATAAACTGCTGAACCCATTTTCAATTTGCCTGGCAACAAATAAAGAAATGACACACTCCGACATCCACACACATTAATCCTCTGACGCAGTTCTTTTTAAATACAAGCCAAACTAAAGCAGCTCATGGTTGAACCTGAACCTTGACCTCTGACCTCAGCTGCTGTGTTTTTTCAGGAGGGGGCTCACGGATGAGGAAAGGGTCTCAACTATTTAAACAGAAAAGATTACACATGAGATAAATTCTCCTTTAATCTCATTTAACAATGCACATAAACATTATGTATGTTATGTTATGCCAGTCATAATACAGTTATTAATCACAGAAATGTTTTATACACTTCTCAAGTCCCTACAGCTGACCATTTAGGATCTTGTAACATGTAAACATGGTCATAGGTGGCCGAATATATATAGTAAAATATGAGAGGGGGGGAAGAAATAATCAAAGTTAAACTAGAACAATATATAAAATATGATTAATGGCAGAACTCGACAGGATGTCTTCATAAGATAGTCAATGCTATTTGAACATTTATGGGGAAACACATTCACTCACTTTCTTAAAAGTAGCCCTGATACAATGACACCGCATTCACCCTATGGTTATAGCCAGCAGCAGGTTAGCTTCGCTTAAATTTGACATTATTACAAATCTGCAAAAAAACAAAAAAACAAAACCCAAACCACTAAACAAGTTTTATGCAAGGCTTTCGAACAAACAACTCTTATCTTGTGGCTCACTCTCACAGCTACTTGCAGTCATCTCTGCTCTTACCAAGTAGCTCTTTTTTAGCAACAACAACAAGAGATAAGAACCCATTAAAAACAGGAACAGCCGAGTGATAAGTGACAAGAGGAACAGGCTTTTTAACACATGCAGAGAACATTTAGCAGCCGGAAATTTCTCTCAGGAGTTGGTAAAGGCACAATGATGGTGGTTGAATCCACAGTACCCTGGCTCAGCAGTTCAGTAGTCATTTGGACTACTGAATAAATGAAATGAGTTGAATGAGTTAGACCAAACCCACTTTTAGAAGTTGGCCTTAATTTTCATTCAAGTGTTGGGACTAAATCATAGCTGTGAAGGTAACACAATGACAAAGTGTCCACAGACAGACACGCTTTGCAATAGTTTCTTCTACAGTAGGGACCACCAGAACCAGACTTAGCCTTGATGTGACGCACTGCCGTGTCAATGGACTCTGTGCTGAGGCAAGAAAAGCCATCCAGCAATTACTAAAAGCTCAACAGTTAAGTAACTTTTTAGCCTATTTTCTGTCTTTGTACTGTGTCGTACCTGACTGCTAATTATTCACGTATAAGCCATTACAGTACATAAATATAATGCTGTCATTCTCGTCTGATTCAACAAGAGAAAGTAAAAAAGTGCTGCTATCCAAAACCATTTTTTTCTAAAAGAAAAACAGAAATGAGGAAATGCTTACAGCTATTTAAAAAAAAACAACTACAGACAAACAGGAAAAAAAAAATATCAGCTAAAAATAAAAAAAGTTGCAAAGGTTTCATCATGCAGCAAAACTGCAAACGACTGTTTTGTTTTCTCGGTTTCTTTCCAACAACCTCGGCTGAAACATAAGAGCGTGAGGGCCGGAAGTGTTGGGTGTAAAATCCCCCTGCTCCGCGTGCAGCCTCTGGGCCCCTGCAGGTGTAGGTGTAGTGTGTCTGATTTCAGGCCTCCACTGCTGCAGGTGTAGGTGTAGTGTGTAAAATTCCACTGTGTGCTGCCACCAGGGAACACCTTTCAGCTGTGGGCAGGTCTCATGATCGCGCCCTCACTTTGACCTGAGCTGCAGCTCACTGTTGAAAGGATCCGGCAGCAAGCTGGGTTTGTTGGGAGGCGGGGGGACAAACACTGTTTAAAAAGAAAACGCACCCTGAAACCATGAAGTCAGGACACAGAACCGGATGAGAGAAGGAGCAGGGCCGTTTCCATGGCATCCAGTTTTGTTTTCCAAAATGGAGGCTTTAATACAAGGCACTCCCTAGAGGGGAGCAGGGAGTGCTCATACGCTGTAGGTGGGTAAACATCACTGGGATGTTTGAGGTATCCAGAGGGGGGGGGGTGCACTTGGAGTGTTTAGAAGTTGCCATCAAACAAAACCAATGGTTACCGATAATATCCCCATCCGCGTTTTCAAACAAGCTTGCATGTTTAGACAAGCCATCCAATAATAAAAAGAAGAGGTGATTTGCATGCTCTGTTGTCACACGTTCAGTGTGGAAAGAGCTCAGCTCACAAAAAGACGCAGTGCAGGAACAGCTCAGTATTTAGAAACCGCACAGCTGTGCGTCCACACACGGCTCTGAGATGCAGTCTCCTCACCGACATTTGGGAATGTTGCAAGAAAATGTAAGTGAAGTGAAGTGAATGAGCATGTGAGTTTAAAACAGACAACAAAATTGTAGTTTGGGTTGCTCAGTGGATATGGAACCAATTCACCCACATTGCACTGTTTGGTTCACTTTCTCTCACAGCCTGCAGGGAAAGCACCTATCAGCTGTTTGTGGTCAGCAGTCACTATAGTGCACGTAAGCCCAGGTGAAAGCTTGGCTGTATATGAATGAAATAATATCATGTAACATCCAGCTTCCTTGCAGTAGCCCTTTATCAGAAACCATATCAAACCCAGAGAAAAACAAAACCATCTATTACACAAAGAAAAGATCAGCATGAGAGCATTTTCCAAAAAGAAAATGCTCCGTTCTAAGGTGAAAACATAATCCCCCAAAAGCCCTGAAGTCTTAGACCGAAGCTACTGGCTAGTATTCCCAAGGTGATTCACAGGCTTTCCTTGATGATCTCGTTTGAGAATCTTCTTTTTTGGGATCTCACTGAGGGCGAAAGGACGAGAGGCGCTCGAGGGATTGTCCTTACGAGACGTGATGCAGTCCTTGATGGCTTCTTTAATAACCTGCAGGGAGGGGGACAAAGTCCATATTGTAATCTCATATGGAACAAATGCTGCTACATTAAATTAAGAGCGATATTTAAAAAAGGTTAAAAAGTTCAGATAAATATAATGTTGGATGAGTTTTGAATAACATCATGCTGGAAGGTAGATTTCCATATATTTGTATGGCTACCGTACTGTCCTGAAATCTAATACACGTTGAGTCATTCAGAAAAAAAGCTGCTCTTCAACACAGCAGCACTTTGAATTAAAGGGTCATTATTTAAATGGTTGAGTAAGATCTTGTAAAACATTTAACCTCAGCTCCACACTGCAACCAAGTGACGCAGAAGGTACAACATGAAGATATGTGAGCCACATAAAAAGAATAAAACCCAAATAGCTGAGGGAGTAATGTCTGATGAGCCAGTAAGGAGTACAAAATATAGTAGAGTAAAAACAGCATGACACGGAAATACTTGAAAGATGTAAAAGTACATTAAAATTCAGCAAGCGGTGGGGAATCATATTTTGGGGGCTGGTGCCACCCCATGCCCACCTTCTGGATACGCCCCTGACAAGTGTAGAGTTAGTATTTAACCCAATTATTTGGGAAACATCATCATTTAGTAATTAATTAATATTTGTCAATTAATAAATTATCCAAATTTAGTGGATTACATAGGCTTAGGTTTATTACCGATTTATGTTCACTAATCATTTCATCCCCCCAACTGTGTAAACCTGTATGAGGTTCTCACTACACATCCCCAGAGCTCAGCTGGTGACACTTTAACGATGTAAAAACGAGTAAGTCCAGGAAATTTCTGTCTTGCACTTTCATATGAATCAGTGTCGGTGGGCAGATTTGTTTTATATTAACCATGAATGACAGATGTTTTATCAGTACATTTCCAAATATCAGCATTGCTGACTGACTGGGCTCAAAATGCTGGAGCCAAGCATCGGAAAATCTCTTTAGTGGCAGCGTAAGTCTGTCTGCATCACCTGACCACCCAGTGAAATCAAAGAGGCTGAACCCTTACTCAACATAGTTACTCAGAAGTTGGCAAGTGAAAGTCAGCCTGACCTCACATAAATGACACACCTTCAGAGAATTCGTTTAGGCCTGTACCATCCGGTTTTGACTACGATGAAATTTTTAATGTTGCACAATCAAAATATGAGTAGACGCAAGCCAAAATTTCCCCTCTGACAACACTAAGAATGAAAAGCTGAGGAAATGAAGGAACAGCAGTTGGCCAATAACAAACCTGTTCATGAATCACTTAATCTACCGATGCCTGCAAGCCTTATGAAAACATCCACAGTGATAGGCTCAACAGGTAACACTGTGCTACACCAGTTTTGCAGCAGCGCTAAACTGACCTCCAGGTTGTTGAGAGTGTTGAACTCCATCAGGTCATGAAGCTGGATAAAAGCTTCGTTGGAGTATTGGAAGTTGAAGGTGGAGTACGGTGTCTCAGTGTCGTCAAAAATGTCAAAATCGGCCAGCTCCTTCTCCTTCTCAGTCTCCCTGGGAACGCCTGATATTTAACAACAAAAACAACAACAAGAGTTGGGGCACTTTTCAGTTCAACCATGTATGTAATACTGTTCATTGCTGAACTGATACCGGATGTAATAGTTATGGTATACTGCGATTCTTCTCCGTTTGAGTGCAAAACCATAAACAGACTCTGTTTATCTGAATGGATGACCTATTTAATGTAAAGGGCGTGCAGTGCAGATGTGGTGATAGTGTTTGTTTGCATGGCTTCTGATATATGACCTGTTTATACACATGGTCCGCCTACTGAGGCGAGAGATTTCCTTCTAGTACCCGACTCCCCCAGGAACCACATTTCACTTGGGTCATAAAAAACACGGAATTTGTAGTTTAATGTAAGCACACATATACTCAAAGGGAGGATGGGAAGATGGTTTCTATTGGGGTCACTCAGAGGAGGTGCCTAGCATCTGGCTGCTGACTGAATATGGTCAATTTCCCCCAGTCCAGCTTTGACGAAGAGATGCCTCAAGTGCCACAACAGTGAAATTTTACCCCTCATAACCTCCACATACAGTCATACTTACCAGGCGCTTTGAATTTCCTGAAGTTGATGTTGACGAGGACGAAGTGGATGACCGTCGGGCAGTTCTTTTCACCGCTCTTTGGTTTGAAGACGTAGCATTCCTTCAGACCTTCACGGTCAAAGACTTTGGGGTCGATCTTGGGGAATGGCAGCTTGTTCATTCTAGCCCATTTCTCAGCGAGGAGAAGCTCCTGTGAGATGCAAATCCTGTTAGACTTGCTGTGTACATGAATCATTTATGACCACAAAAAAAGTCCCGTTTTACCTTGAACGGAGGGCTCGAGTCACTCGGTCGAGCTGAAAAGTCAAAGGAGATGATGAGGTCGACGCCGCGCTGCGAGCGCAGGATAAGGGGGTAGGGAAGGTTGTAGGTCAGGCCGCTGTCCACTACATGGATCTTCTTGCTCTTCACATCCAGAGGCTCGTAGATTCGGTCAAACTCATCGGGATCTGAGCAATGATAAATTTTATTCTTCCTGACTCACCGAGCAAATTGTTTAGTTTGGTACTTGTCCTTTACTGGCAGTAGGACCGCATATTTGTTTTCATACATTTACAAATACATTTCATTAAATTTATTTCTATAGACAGATGTGATATTTTCAGCAACCAAAAATATTTGTGTAGTTTTCCAAAATAGTTTTCCAAAAGTCGTGATGGAGATTGGGTGAAGTTGGTCCGAGTGAGTCAGCAGAGAAAGTATACTAAGGTTATGTTTGATTACAGCCCTCACTGCATTAACATACACATTTATTAAACTGAT